GGAAGGGAAGGGAAGGGAAGGGAAGGGAAGGGAAGAAGGAAGACTCAAAAATGAGTCCACTTGCAGGCTGTGGACACTGACTACAGCCTTCCCACAGAACCAAACTGTCTAAGGAATAATAATAGAAACAATTTGCCATCCGCAGCGACTTTGGGCCTCTTGTCTCTGTGACATCTCTTGACAAGATGGAGAGACTGAGAACAGGTCTTCAAGGAGAGAGGAAACTTGAAAGTTGTTAGTAAAGGGGGAAACAAAGGAGAATCCACAAAGCCCCAGCTGCTGAGAACAAATTAGCCAGAAATCAATTTGATGAAATGATTAACCTGGCAAGTGAGCCATGTGCCACACTAGCAATTGCTAACTTATTTCTGTTAGTTATTTGTAGAGTTCATAGCAATCCATGCTGTTTATGGTCATTTCAACAGATTCTGCAGAATTCTCTCTTGGATCCCTGAGGCTTTGCCACCAGAGGAACAAGTTATCACAGAATTTTGCTTAGAGGAGAGACCTCTATGGTGGAAGTGTGGTCCCAGTTTTCATGGAATTATGAGGCATGTCTTTGGGCAGGAGATGCTTACAAAGCATAAAAAAAAAAATGGTCATTTAGTCAGGCAGCAGTGCCAAGTCAACCACAACTGGGCATGCAGGGACTGAGGTGGCTGCCTTCACCATCAGGCAAGTCAGAATTAGGGATTGAAAGAGTGTCAGTGCTGGCTTCCGGAATCTAACATGAGTACAACCACTAACCGACAAGTGTGCAGACGACACCCACAAGGGCTGTCCATCCACCCAGGATGCTCCATGCACTCCACAGCTGGCCAACCAGGATGCGAGCACTCTGTCCAAGTGCAGAAGCCAATTTGCACGGTTGGCTCCATTGTCATTTGATAAATAGCCTTTCTGCAGAGTGATACAGAGAGAGTGCTGCTGGGCCCATAGCCCAGATGGGTGGCTCCACATAGCTCTCTGCAACTAACATTCTCAGAAGGGGAACTATTAACACATTAATGTGAAGAAGCCAAGGGTTGTATAAGGCAATAAATACAAAATCTCAGTTTTATTTATGCATTTCCCAATCGTTTATCTACTGGATTGTCATAAACAGGTATGTCAGGCTACTCAGAACTGTTCAAGCCACTGACTTTCAACACTAGAACAATCTTCTTGAATCCAGCATCTGTTGTCTCTGAGCTGAATAACTGAATTTCTTATATTTTCTGAGCCTGGTTCCTAGCTATAATGCTCAGAACACCTACCAAAAGTTTTGGGGCAATCATGTGGCTCCATGCATTTTGCATTTGAATGAAGAACTAAACTCTGCCCACACACTTTCTTCCGGAGCGCCTTGTAAATTGTTTGAAATTGGTATGATCCAATGGTTTTCTTATTCCATTCATAATATTAATTTAAATAAACAAGAAAAAGAAAATTATATTTGAGAAGCATTAAATGTGCAGATACAAAAATTCCACCTCATGCCCCAATATCGCTACTTGGCATGCCTTGCCTCACTTCTGGTCATACTGCTGGGTGCCTGCCTGCTGCCTGTCCCAGCAATCTCGAATTTCACTTTGCCCTCTTTGCCTGCAGGCTGGGGCCTGCTTCCTCTTCCTTGTCTGGAGCGACCCCTGGCTCTCTTACTGTGTGCTTGTCTTTCTTGTTTCCACTGAAACCTGTGGACCTAATGGAGGGTGACACCCTTGAAGGTCCCCATCTCCTTTCTTTGCTCAGTGCCCTTCATTCCTTCTCTGGTACTTACATCTTGACTCTGCTCCCTTTCATCTCTCTGTTGTAAAAAGCCCTTCTTCCAATTAGCAGGCTCATCTTACTCTTTGGCAAATTCTTCTCTAGTGTTACTTGTCCACTTTGGTAACAACAGCTTCCAGCTCCAGGTCCCATTTCAGTACCTCTCTGTATCTCATCATATATATATGTATATATATTACGTATATATCACATATGTGGAGATATATATAAACACAAATCATCCATGCATCACTTATAGCCCTTAACACAAAGGAGCATTTACAATGTTATTTAAGTAGGTCATATAGTGTACCGTTTGGGCAAAAATGATAGACGAGAGTTTTATGTATTCATACAGAATGTAATTTTTAAATTTTATATATAGTTAGTGTTTTTTTTTTTTTTTTTTTTTTTTTT